GAGGATAGTCTCCAGCAACTATTTTTGTTATCAGGGTTCATCATCAAGTGACTACTTCTCATATCCATGAACAATAAATACAGCCTAAGGCTAATGAAACAATCTTGAAAATTTCTTCAAAAGCCTTGAAGAGAATCAAGGTTGAATCAAGCTTTCAAGAGCAAAGTACCTCTAAAACATAGCACTTATTTTCTGACTGGGCACCATCACAGATTTCAAGGCAGGCACAATTTAGTCTAATGATAGTGACAAAAAGGCATGCATAAGCAAAGCTTATTTTGTTTGGCTGTGTCCTTACCCAGGCAATTCTGCTATAGAAATTCCACCAGGAGAGCTCTGATGAGCAGCTAAGTAGTCTCAAAAAGAAGACATGCAAAATACAACACTGAGGGCTGTGAGTCACAATTCTGTCAAGAAGTAAACATACTAATTGGCATAAAGTGCTTGCAAACCATTGCAAGTCATTTTGCCGATTCCTCTTTAATGACTATCTTGCCAGGTTCTTGTTAAAAATGAAATATTACAGCTGCTTACTGTCAAACTGCAAATGTCAAGTGGAGGTCCTTGTGATGGACGCCAAACTACTAAGACCTACAAAATAAATAGTCAAAAACTTTCTTGTACATAAAACTGAATGGTGAGTGTAAAGAGCAGAAGTGCCAAATTGGAGATTTTATTTAGCAAATGGTTATGCTGAAATACGTTGTCAGTTCAATTTGGTATCTCTTTTCTTTACTTCTTGGGTTCATTCAGAATTGGGTCAGATGAAAACTTTTATGTCTTGGATCCTGAAAGATATAAAAGCGGCAGTGCTGAAAATTTTTTGTTTTCTTTAAAGCCTCATGAAATCGTTATTAGATTATACAAAGTTAAAATGTATATATGTTTACAGGAAAATCAAAGAACAACAAGTCATAAAGAAAGAAGTAGTTAGCCATGTTAGCTGAAGTCAGTCAGAAATCATGGTAGATATGCACCTTTGTAGACTAAATAAGTCATATAAGGCATTATTACACAAGCTCCAGGATGTGCGGGGGGGGGGAAGGGGAGGGAGGAAGAGGGGCACTTTAATTAGCAAGCCATGCTAATTAAAAGTGTCAAGTGTATCAGCATCACATAGAACAAGCTTCAATTCAAAGCCTCCTGCCGCCATTTTTTAGCATGGAGACACTATACACGTGATGCCAGAGTCTGCTGAAATGCGTTTATTTCCGTGCTCCAGCAGACTCAGTTGAGTCTACTCCAATGCACTGGATTTCCAGCACATTAGAGCTGGCTCCCTGCATGTCTATAGAAGCCCAGAGAATGCAAGCTTTGATGAATCAAAGTTTACTTCATCAGACACTGTGAAAAAGTTGTTCATAACCTTAAAAAAATACAGTTAATAAAGCAGTTGAAGTAGTGAACAGATAAGAATAGAATCTAGTAGAGCGGCAGGATGCACTTCAAATCTGAGACATCAATCTCAAAATAACGTCCCTTTTTCTACCATTCTGTCCCTGTTATGTAAGCTACTTAGACTTAATATGATAGAAAATCAGTATGAACTAATACAGATTAAATATGCATCAATGACTACATTGCTGCCCATCCCAGTGACATGTGAACTTTTTTGATTCTATAACTATATTGATATGCATCAATATAAATCAAGGCTTGCATTGGGAGCAGAAATCCTTCAACTATATTTTTCTGTGTCAAAGACTCCCCAGATCAGTTCTGAAGTTCCCAGTGTCTTAAAACCCTAATTTTCTTGATTGCATAGTTTGAGGCTAAGCTTGTCTCTTATTTCACCAAACATCTTTAGATCCACAAAAATCTGTATAGATAATGGTATCTATCATATATTCTATACAGTGAACATAACTATACAAGACATTTACTACACTTGCCTAATTAGCTTCACAGAAAATGTCTCAGCATCTACACCTGCAGTGCTATTGGATGGAGTAAACTAATTAACTCCACCAAAGGTTAGTACTTGTAAACATAAGTGGGGCATGTCAAGATGAGCATGTACATGCAGTATGTAGTACTGCAGCCCTGTTAATGGCACTACACACCACAAGCACTGCACATGCAACCATTCCCTGCACTGCTAATTCACAGCCCGGGGCAAGGGACTGATATTGGGAAATCCCAGTGTCAAAAAAAACACACCTAAAAAAAAGCAGGGTGGCACACATGGTAGCAGCATACACCTCCTGAAACTGGAGCCTGGCTGGTCATACCTATGCTCCAGGTGCTGGCCAGGCTCCCTGCTGCTGGATCACAGCAACTGCAGCCCTGGAGGCTTCCAGGACCTGTGTAGATGCTGAGACACCCAGATGCAGGTCCCAGCCTCCTCCACCTGACCCAGGGTCATGTGCCACACATGTGCATGGGTGTTATCTGGGGGCAAGTAGCAGTGGCACACATCATGCTGCTACCATTTGTCCCTGGGGAAATGCATGTTTCCACTCATGGGGACATGCCCATATGGAGTTTGGACATGCCCAATGGTGGAGTTTTTTACTCCACAGCAATGCATGAATAGACGCTGATGAGGCTGACTGGGGCATGAGGGTTCTTCAGTGCAAGAGCTGCATGTCAGCTAGCCCTGCACTGAAGCACCCTTATCTGCCCCAGCCAGCCCCTCTACAGCATGTTGAGCAAGGTCAGAGCAGCCCTGGACCAGCAGGCTGATCCCTACCCCAGGCCCTCTGCATCTGGGGCTGCTCCAACCCAGCTCAATGTGCTGCGGTCCTGGGTACACATTCAAACACAGTGCCTAAGAACAATAAACTCTGGTGCAATATGCACCACAGTTTATTGCTACACATTAATTGCATATGTAGACATGCCCAGTGTGGAGAAACAGGAAGTGCTATACCTGTTCTTTGAATTAAAGCCATTGGTCAATCAGTCTCTATTAGCACCAAATATATTCCCAGAAAGAAGTTTTCTTTTACATTAGTAAATAGTGAGCCCTTTAAAATTAAAGTACCGTAGTCAGAACATAATGTGAAAATATTAAACCATATATAACTTCCTGTGATGCAAATGTGGGGCTAGATAAAGCCTTTATGTAAAATCCTGGACCAGTGGTAGCACACAGTAACTTTATCCCAGGAAAAACTCCTGAAAGAATCGATGGTTCAGATTGATGATTCCCTTTTCTGAGGGAAAGTTACTATACACAGCATTTAAAAGTAATCTAATGGCTTCCCTTTTTACATCTAATGAACAATTCAGGTTAGAAAAAAAGGGGGCAGAACCAGTGCTCCACCAATTTTCTGCTTCTGCTTGCCCACTTGCTCATAATGAATTTAACCCAGACACACAGTTTCCAGTGTGGGACCCAGGTCCACTGAGCAAGGTTGTTAATGGTGCCTAAACCCTTTCCTCTTACAGTTTGATACTAAGCAGGGGTGGGGAACAGAAACATCAGTAGATAACACAAACTAAATCTGTGTAATGTCACCCAATATAGTACAGAATTATTGCAAGCAGAGTCAAAGGTATAACTCTACTGGTGTAGATTACAACAGTTTAGGTTTTGTGTGTTCTTTTCCCCCTTAGGCCAAGGTTATGCTAAGTGCAAACAAGCTGTTACTTGCTTCTCTGCCACCCAGTGTTTAGGTGCAGTAATAGAACCAACTTCTGGCTAAATATAGACAGTCAGAAAGCCCAAGGTTGAATTGATTCAAACTTCACAGGTTAGCCTATTGAGATTGAACTGATAAGTAAGTGAACAGACATTCACTTTTGATTCTAGAAATGTACCCACATGCCTGCAGTGGCCCAGGCCAGAAGCTGGGGCATGCTAGAACACGCCTCCCTGTTTGGCTTGTGCGGACAGTTTGGGCCCTGTGAGGAGGGTTTTTGGGGAAGCTGCAAAGCATCCTAGGATGCTAGGAGGCTGTAAGTTAACTTAAATCGGGAGGGGATTTGGGGCTTCATTAAACTAATTTAACCTAAATCAGTTAAGTCTGATACTACATCCATCCAGGTTTGTCTTAAACTGGTTTGGGCCATTTTGAAAGCAGTTTATGTGCACTGAGCTTCTATTTTATTACAGATTTGAACTGGTTTCTGATCATTTTATTTGTTATTATGTGTTATTTCTGTCCCTAGCCTTAAGGACAGCTGTCTTATAAAGGCATATGGTTGTTAAAAACTGAGGAGGGAAAAGAATTACGAAGTTGGCACAGGAACAAATGAGTATAAACTGGCCATGACTAAATTTGTGTTGCAGTTTGGAAGAAGGTTCCTCATCATTAAAGCAACTTTCTGGAATAGCTTACAATTGTAATAATGACTGCAAAAAATGGTAACTAGTTTTAAGACTGGCTTCAGTAAATTTATGAAAGGAATGATATAATGTGTGCCTACTATAGGAGGGGATTCAGCTTCATGACACAGAAGGTCCTTTCTAGTCTTCTATTCTTGTTTGCACATAACTAGGTAAGTTATATGTAGTATATTGCGTATCTAAAATCTGTTGTAAGAAGAACTCTCAAAACATTCTGGAAAAATTATTATTCTAAATCAGGCACTAGTAGCTACATATATGAGCTCTAAAAAGCGGTACAAACATACATTTTGAAATTTTATTTACATCTATTCAAATGAGCAAATAGTTTGTAGAAGATTTAGGATTTCCTAAGAATAGTATATAAGCTAAATATAAGTCAGGTTCTTTAGTGCCTCAAGTAGTCTACTCCCTTCTCTTGTACATTTGATATCCATTTTTAATATTATGGAAAAAATAATTTGCACTGTCAGTAGTTCTACTTATTTTTGTTTTAAGAAATTCAAAGTGGAACATGCTAAAAATGAGTACCAGGATGGTATCAGCTGTTTTTACAGTTTCATATATGTATACAGTGTAAATAAAATTAGATCCATTAATTAAGAAACTAATTAAAAATAATTAAATATTTGCATTACTTAAATGTGTAGCATTTGTAATCTCTAGCAATCCCTAAAACTTCAAGAAGTTGTATTGTAGCTTTGAAAAAGTATGGGTGGCTATAGATGACAACTATATCTGAAGACAGAGTATTGCCTTATAATATTTATCCGTACAAGAAAGAATATTCGCTGCTGAACTTGGAAATACCTTCTGCTGACCTCATGAAAGAAGGCATAAAATTCTCTAGCTAAATGGATCACCCTTCCTCTGGATGTCCCAATCAATAATATTATGGCACTACAGTATTAGGGGGCCAATTCTGTGCTGCCTACTGATATCAAGAAAGGCTGAAAAGCAATTAACTCTCACAGGAATGGACCTAAATTCCAGACAAAATATTCTCTTACTGGCAGAAAACCACCTCCTTTGTAGTATCTGACTACATAAAGAAAGTGCCTCTTGCACACTGTAAAGTGGTACAAGAGACATGAGCCAATTAGGGAAAGCAAAACATTTTCACTTGATAAGTTGTTCTGGACTTTTTTCTGCCAAATCAGCAATGTCTGAAAACAAAGGAGACATACCAACCCTAGGAGACAGCCTGTCTGCCCAGGCACTCTTCTAGGAGCTCTCTTAATTTAATTTGGCATGCACATAGCAAAACTACCATGTGTCAGAGTTTGGTATGCCACATAGCACACTACAACCACTGACATTTTCAGACTCATGAAATCGCCATATGTAAATTTTTGGCTTTAAGGAAGGTTGACTGTACGCTATCTCCACCTCCTTAGTTATCACAACAATCACTTGAATGGGCAATAAGAACAGACCTTGTCTTGGGTATTTTGATAAGCTGTTGATAAGAAATGGGACCCTGAGTTCTTGTTGTATATAAGCCACAAGGGTTTCAGTGTGCCTAACTACTGAAGGGGAGCTTGACAACACTGTTCAGCAGCTCCAGAGACACACAAAAGATGTTTCTACCAGCACAGATGTTTGCCTTTGCTCTGAGTGGTTTTCTAAGGCTGACAATTGGGTTTGACATTGGATTATCCACTAAATGTGTTGCCATACCTAAGGAGATGAGCATGTGCCACAACATTGGCTATTCTGAAATGAGGCTTCCTAACCTGATGGGACACACAAGCATGACAGAAGTGATTTCAAAATCCACTGACTGGCAGCGTTTGGCGCAAACTGGTTGCCACCCATATGCGAGGACATTCCTGTGCTCTCTATTTGCACCTGTCTGTTTAGATACGTAAGTACCATATCACATGCCAAAATTGAGTCTTTTATGCTTGAATAGGAATTGAAATGAATTTATGTTTGTTTTAAATTGAAGGGTATTCTCAATCCAATAGCTTAAGTATTTTTATTATTATGTTTTTGTTTGGGGGGAAAAAACATCACACCAGGGGTTTTCCAGTTTAACTTTGATCTGCAGTGAAAAGGAGAGTTGTGACCAAAATATCATGTTTAGATTTATTTTGTCAAAATGAGAATGTCTGCTGTTTTAATAACTTGGGGGCCAATCTAGCTACTATTGAATTAGACATTTATTGGGTCTAGGATCAAGCTCTTACTGAATACCTATCACAAAACAGTATAAGGATATTGTTCTTAAAATAATACATTAATTCTAGAATCATAGCAAGATCCACATACAGAACTCCTCAATAGCCCCTGGTGCCATTAATTGTATCTTTAATGAATTTATCATTAATGAAGACGGGGATGTTAAATATTAATATATAGGAAGGATTTGCACAAAACTCATCTATATCTAGGAGTAGTCACTGTGGTTACCCGTTTCCAGAGATTTTAACTGATTCTGTCTGGTTTTTGCTTTTAACAGCTTCATCCATCCTTGTAGGAGCATGTGTGCTGCTGTTCGTGACAGCTGTGCTCCTGTGCTGGTTTGCCATGGACATGCTTGGCCTGACAGTTTGGACTGTGATCGATTTTCAGCTGATGAGGACATGTGTCTAGCATCCCTTACCAATGAATATAAATACATTCACAAAGGTAGATGAAGTAGGTGGGTAGGAATGAATATACAGAATCAAGCAACTATGTGGAGGGGAAAGCTTTCAAAACCAGTCTCTGATTTTGTAAATGCAGCCATGCCCCTTTGTGCATGTTCATACTGCTTGTGCACATTCTGATTCTGATCCTGAAAGGTACTGGATACCTACGAAATAAATTGGGCCAGACTTCAGCTAGTAAAAATCAGTGTTCATTTACAGAATGGAGGCTAATGCCATCATTCACATAACCAATTTAATCACCACAATATCAATAGAAAATAATGTTATTTTATTTACGTATTTACTTATAGGCTTTACTGTGTCCCCATCATCATTGTATCCACCCTTTATATATGCAGTGTAAATGTGCTCATATCAATTCTGTGAGATCAGGAAGGATTATCTCCCTTTTATACAGGGGAAACGGAGGCATAGAGATATTAATGTCAAGCTATTCAAAAGTTCTAAGGTCCAAGTTGCTACTATTGAAAACAGGGAGTTTGGTAAGTGTTGAGCACTTTTGGAAATCCAGCCCTATATGGCAAGCCTAAGCTCAGACAGAAGCAAAAGCAGCATTCAGACCTTCTGAATCCTCCCCTAGTACCTTAACCACAAGATCATGCAAGGGTTTTAACAGAGCACCCCAAATAGAATGTTTTCAATCCACAGACACACACACACCCACACACACACACAACATAGATGAATATTAAATATACTAATTGATGCTAATTGATACCCCTGTCACTCTGAGCAGTGAGGTCAAAGACTAACTGGGTATGGAAAATACCAATTCCCTTCCATCCTTGAAAACAGCACGTTTTTAGAGCAGTGCCTAGAAACTGGCATTGCCACTGCCTATGTTCTCCTGTGTGCTTAGTGGTTCAATGGAGAAATTCACTTTTCACTGGCACCAAATTGATGCAAAGGACAAACGATTAATAAGACTTTAAAATTTCTTGCCAGTATTGCCCAAGCCTGCCTGCCAGACCTGCCCAGAAGTGGAGGAGTTTTTTACACATAAAAGAATCCTAGAAGTATTCTGTGTCAGTAACTTTGGTAAGTTCTTACTAACATACATTTGATTAGAGAAACTTAAGTGTACTCACTATATAGACATCAATCTCTCTTATTTAAAATGCATTAAAAATGGCCTAAAAATAGCTGACCATTTCTGAAGGAACATGAAGGGCTAAATTGTGGTAATGTCGTCATATTTCTGTGGATCAGTATTTTGCCCCAAATGAATTTTTTTCTAGAGCTTCCTTCCTTTATAAACAAAATGCAATAGTTTTAGATAGTATTGACTCATTGTCTATTTTGATAATCAAATTGTTTCTTCTTCTAGTGTAAGTTGCTATATTTTATGGATAACATTTATGGTATAAAGGTCAAATAAGTGGTTAATGGCTTTCATTGGTGGTTAAACCCCAAAGTAAACGTATGGAACATATGGCTTTATGACATTAAAAGATAAAACCTCCTTGTAGCTTGTGTCAGTGACTGTAATTCCTGCTATGCAGCAACTCAAAGCAAGATTCAGTAAATCTCATTTAAAGAGAGGGTTTGAAAGTTTCAGCTGGTGCCTTATTAGGTTTTTCACTGACAGGCAATACTTTGAGGTTGCAGTTGGTATCTTCATGCAAAGCCTATTCAAGTTGCTTTGAAGACTTTCACTGACTTCAGCTGGTTTTTGATCAGGCATCAGTGGTGCAACAGATTTGGCTGGTGCCCAAGTTTCCCCTGGGTTTTGGGGGCATATGGGTTCCAAGAGCGGGAGGCAGAGGCCGCAGGTGTGGGGGGATGCCTGCAGGTTCCAAGAGTGGGGGAAGCAATCTTACCCATGCCAGGACTCCTACACAGCCCTGGCTAAGTGCCTGCTGCTGCTGCACTTTTTCTGCCCACCCAGGACGTTGCTCTTAAAGCAGCAGCAGCTGGGAACTGTTTTGGAGTTCCTGGCATGGCAATGCAGCCAGGGTGCAGATTCCACAAAGGTGACAATTATGGCATCCATCCTAACTTGGCATCAGGATGGGTGTCCCTCTTTCTCACCACCACCACCTACACTATTGTTAGGCACAGAGCAAGGTCTGTATGGAAAAGTATTAATGCAGCTAGATACGAGGAAAATGCTAGATGTAAAGATATATTGAGAAAAGAAAGAACTAAAAAAGGTGGGGCTAAAGGAGGCAGAGAAAGCCAGTTATGTTGTTAGTTGGTTTTCTTGAACCTTGACAACCCCACAGTTTCAACAGAACCAGTTATGCAGGATGGGATACCTGATCACTCCCATAGTTTGAAACAGGTGATGAAAAAACTAAAATCCACGACAGTCATCTTTGTGAGAACTTTACATTTTTTATGGCCCATGTAATTTAGGGATTATTTATTCGTGTCACCTGTTTTAAAATCATTATTGGATTTTTCAGCATAGTAACTCTGTTTTAGTCATACCTTTGTTTTGGGTCGTACAACATGGTGGTAGTTTTATCAGTAGTGTAACTGAGAGGGGGAAGAGGGGAAAGGGGCAATAGGGTCAACCACCCTGGACACCAACTTGGGAAAAGTGGGGTATGAAGAAAAGAGGCTGCTGCCAGCATCTACGCATTCTTAATTGTGAACTGGAAGTTGCCACTTTGCCCTAGGCACCCGGCCACCTCCCTACCCTGCTGAGTTTTATAAATGGATGACTCCACTGTTCAACATTAAATTCCTTACTGCATTTAAATAGATAAAGCAACTTACCTATTTTTTCTCTTCCTAGCAGTGAAGGTGAAACTCTCCAAAAAGAGAACAATTTCTGGGGACCAGGAATATAATATTGAATGCCAGGTGGAATTAATTAACCAGGGCTTGCTTCTCCCCTATGACACTCAGAACATGATACAGCAGTGGCTACTCATCAATGAAAATTGTACTCAGTGGATGACTCAGAGTCATCGTCCTATGGTGTATCTCATTGTGGGAAATATTGAAGAGAGCACCATTTTAGTAAACCAAGTTTACCGCTGGCAGAGGAGGGACTCCCAGTTGATTCTGGCCACACGGAAATGGAAACACCATAAATGTTTATAAATGTTCACCGTATAGTCTCTGGGTATGCAATTATATGCCTTATGCAAAAGATATCTTGTAAATAGCAATGTATTATAAAATGAAATGTAAAGTCTTTATTGTATTTTTTTTAAATGTGTTATATAGCAAGTTGAATTCATCCTGGGTGTAAGTGAGCATAGTCTTTGAAGTCAATGATGTCCTAGCCACTTACCCCAAATCTGAATTTGGTCTATCATGTACAAATGTGTTTCCTCAGATTATTATTATAAATGTTATGTAATATGTTTAAATCTGCCATAAAAATGTGTTGAGAAATCATAAAGCTGAGTGTTTTTATCTGTCTGCAGTTTGTTAGGTTTTAACAACAAACACAAGTGACATGTCTGAAGTATAGACATTTAGGTTCTTAAATATAGATTTAGGTATTTAATGTCTGGCACATGCTTTGAAAAAAATGGTGTAGGTGTCCATGTAGGTAATCTACTTCAACTTCTTGCGATGATAGTGTTTTTTAAAAAAAGGTGTGCCAGATTTTTCTGAGTAAAATGGTTTCTTCTGTGCAGACAGACATCAGTTTGGAAAGATATTCCTTCCATACATAGGGCCTTAGCCTTTGCAGTGACATGGTTGCCGTAGTTAGTTTTATTTCATAATGACTATAGGAATAATATTTTAAAGCATGAAATAAGTTCAATTTTTGAAACTCTTCTAACTTTGTATATACTGTACTGTACAGAAAGTGTACAGTTCTAAGAAAAAATAAATCTACTAAATGACCTATGGTTTAATTTTATCATTTTCAAATAGAATATCAGCTACTTTAAAGATATTAGATATAATTAGCCACCTAGTATGTTTCTAGTTGTCTCAGGGATTATATGAGTTGAATATCATTGCAAAAGATCAGGCAACAGGCAAGAAATGCAAAACATCAGAGTGGCCACATAAATAGCATCCTCAACTGTAGCATGCCTGTGCTATGACTAAAAAGCAGGTAGTGATGGACAGGGCACAACTTAGTTTTAAATACATAGGAACTAATTTAATAAGAATGTGAAATCACTAAGAAGATGTGCAACTGCCACTGCATGAATTATGAGGAATACTTGCTATACACTGTTGGTAGTGGCTATTCTTAAAACGAAAACATTTAGAATAGTCTAAAACCAGGTGCTTTCTACAGGGCAAGAAATAACATGATAGGTCTTTACCATGTCCAAGAGCACCTAAGCTAAAACTACATTAATGGTCACTGATTTCTTCACTTTTAGATTTAAAATGTTAAAAAAAATTAAAATCCTGCCTATATTTAACAAGTATTCAATTTGCCTTCCCTCTCCTTACCATAGGTCCCTGTCACATCTTATTTACTTATGGTTATATCCTGCAATAGACCCTCACAAAGATCATATAGGACTGGGGTTTTAGACTGTGAGGTCTTAATGTGAGGATTGTCTTCTGTCCCCAAACAGGGCCCCACTATTGCTTGAGGCCTCTGACCACTACTGCAACGTAAGCAATAATGAGCGCAAAATACAGATCTCTAAGCTTCTAAGGCTCCCAAGTTATAGAACCATTTTCCTGTCCACACTAGTAATAACTAGGGACCTACCCAAATTACAAGTGCGTGGATTTTGTGGAAATTGTGAAATTGGGCAATCTCCAAAAAAAGCAGCTGGTCTCATGACCTGCCCGTGAAACGGGCTGGCTGCCTCCTTGAGTTGGGTAGACCCCTAGTACTAACTAAATCTTAAAAAACTGTTTTAACATAGCTTCCCCTATCTAGATTAGAGCTGCACACTAGAAAGTTCATTCCTGTAGTGCCTTCATTTGGTCCTAATGTGAATTCTTCTTCATCGTGTCTCAATCCAACCTTTCTAAATGATCTGTTCCCAAAATTCTGCACTGGCCACTGCTTCTGGTGTTGGTGTTGCCAGCTCTTGTGGGGTGCATTGTGGTGCTACAGGGCATCTCAGGAGATGATCCATGGGTTGCTTCTCCTGACAAACACATTGAGCATCTATACATGTGGGCTCCAGGTTGGTGGTGGTGGGGGGGAACCTTTAATTAAAGCAGCATTGAGAGCCTGCAGCATCACATGTATTTGGCATCCCACACTCCAAATCTCATTGAACAAGCTTTAGTTAAAGTGCTCTTGCCACCATTTTGAAGTGCTAGACACTGAATACACATGACCCGGAGGCTGCTGCGTGCTAATTAGTCTGAGTCTAATTAATTGGAGTCTGCTCTGACACATGCTAATTAGCAGATGCTGGAGCAAAGGCCCATCACATGTACTGGTCAGCTGAATAGAGACCCACTCTCAATCTGTTCAGGCTGACAAATGATGTATCTTTTCTAATCCTTGAAATCCATATATCATGACTGTTCCTTCTGGAGCATGATGAGGAAAACTGTTTTTTAAAACTGAATAGCATCATTATAAGGCCAAATCCTATGGTTATCTTGGTATTTAAAACTCCCCTTTATGTTAATTTGAATAGGAATTTTACACAGGTTTCTGATAAGAGAAACAGACTATGGGTTTTTTTCAAATAGTCTGAAAAACAACCAGAACTTGAAATGACCTATTTTGAATCCAACATGTATAATAGAGCAGCTGTTTAAAAAAAAGTAGGTTGCTCAGTACTTCAGCTCATTCTGTACCATTGATTCTGTGTTGGTCTCTGGTAGTAAAAGAGTAAATATTTTAAGAACTGTCAATCTTTTTATGCATACCAGCTCCCCCATGGCGGCTTCATGAGGAGGCTGTTTTCAAAGCAACATTCAGAGCCAGCAATAGATGACCTATTTTAGAAGTGTCAGGGCTTTTAGAGATGTCAGTAACATCACTCATCTGATTAAGTCAATGCTTAAAGCCACCATTCAAACCTGAGGGAATTAGACTTATGATTCTCTGTAATTAAGAAGTGTTGTTTAAATACTTTCTTTTTGAGGGGTGCAGAACTGCATCTGAACTGCACACCTGCTTGTTTTGTTTTGCTATTTCATTATCACAAGTGTTTGATAAAATACCCCTGTTTTTGAACTGATAAAGCAGAGTCCAGCCCAAGAAAAGACATTCAAAACAGCCTGACAGATAATGGGCTGATTCTCCTTTTCAGTGTAACCTATATGTATATCCACTGCAACACCTGCTTTCCATGCCATAGAGGCGTTAAGGTGGCCGGACTATAAATGAGAATCAGGCTCTGGGAGGTCTCTGTGTGGTATTCATACCTGCCAACCTGAGTTTGTTAATGTGAACATTCACAGTAGCAGTATTAAGGGAATTCTGTGATGACAGCCACTGTAATGCCCTGCAGTGCAGTACACACCCCATTCACCTATCAGCACATCCAACCTGCTAGTGCCACAGTGGTTTGGGCACTCCTAAGCCTTATGTGGGAGCCTGATAGCAATGTCTGCTGTCCCTCCATCCCACCTCTTCCCCAGCAGCAGAGATCATGGTTTTTCTGCACCCAGATGCAGAGAGAAGGAAGCTCCTTGGCACCCTTTCTCCCTCCTCTACTCTGTAAGTGTGTGACCAGCTACACAAGTGCCTCTGGGGGCAGTGTGCGGTGAACTGCATTCCTCAGAGGAGGACAAAGTTCTTTGGCAAATGTGATATCTTTTATTAGACCAACCAAATAGATGGAAAAATTGTTCTTTGTAAGCTTTCAGGCACAAACACCCTCAGAGGAGGAACATTTCTCAGGGGATGGGTTTAGTTTCTCATTTTAAAATCAAATCACCTCTCATAGTTCTTGTTGCTGTGATGGTGGGGATGCTGCCCTCACTGTGCTTGGAGCTGTGCAAGAGCAGCAGAGAAGGAGGCTCAGCCAGCTCCTTCTCTTTCTCCCTCCATGGTTCGCTCGCAGCTTGCTCTGGGGTGGTGTTTCCTCAGTGTGGGGTAAATCACGGTGGACAGGGTAGATCCATGGGATAAGGCTTCTTTGCATGCAACTCGCAGGCACACATATGCCCTGCATCTGGTCTCTTTCTCTCTCTCTCTCTCTCTCTCACACACACAGACACTGCATTGTCTCTCACGCAAGTCCTGCATCTAGTCTCTCTCTCTCTCTCACACACTCACCTCCTCCATCTAGTGTCAAACACATACACACACATCCTGCATTTAATTTATCAACCCCCTCCCCCCACCACGTAGTCGCACAGACACGCCCTGGCCCCAGTCACAGGAGCCGGGAGGGGCGCTCGGGGGCTCGCTCGCTGCGGGAGGCCGCCGCAGAGGTGAAGTGCGTCCCTCCGCCGCCGCTGGGGCCGGGCCGGGCCGGGCCTGCTCAGGGCAGCGGTCTCGGAAACTGCTTGTGTCGCGGTGCTTCAGGAGCGGGGACGCAGCGCGGTGGGACTGGCCGTGGCCTGCTGCTGTCGGCCATAGCGGAGACGCTGGGCGCCGCCCACGTGCGCCCAGTCTAACGCAGCAGCGTAGAGCTGGGCTCCGGGCGGACACTAGGATCTGCTTCTAGGCCAGGCCTTTCCCTCCGGGCAGTGGTGGGGGCACGGGAGTGGTTGGCCAGTAGGGAGATCATCTGTATCCTGCTCTGAGGCAGGTTCAAGGTCTCCCTTTCTTGATTTTGACGCCCAGACCAGGGGATCCTGGCCTTGGCATCCTGCTGCTGGGCTGTTCCTTATCCAGTCTGTTTGGCAGCAAAGATTTGTCCAAAGTTTGTGGACTGGACAAGTAAACAAATGAAAAACTGAATAATGTGTCTGCTCTGTACGTGTGTGCGTGTCCTCGTACCGTTCCCCCCACCGCCACCAGTGGTGTATTTTTGTAATTTTTGTTTCCAGCCTGAAATATGCACAAACACGTCTTGGGTTCTCCCTCTTGCTTTGCTTACAGCCATGGCCTCAGGAACTGCTCTGATTTACGATAATGAAATGACCAGTCATAGACTACTGTGGGAGGAGTAAGTCTGTCTCCATAAACTGATACTAGCATTTCTGAACAGAGAGGTACCAGATAAAAGTGTGTTTCCTTACTTAGCCCCAGTGAAGGAAGAAAATCTTCATTGCCTTCTGGTTGCAATCTTAATGAACAAAAAACACTTCTCACTTCTTTACACAGATGATTTTTTACACCTGGGCTATTTGAAGGCTTAAATCCAAGAAGATGCTTAAGACTGTTATTTTCTTAACTACCCGAGCTGTCCCACCAGTAACATGCTTAGAACTAAGTATTGAAAGTAGTTATGTACCCACAGGGTTGCTGAAAGATGAGTCTGAACCCTGTAGCATATCTGCCTAACTAGGTTTCCTGTAGTCCTCATCTCCCCTTTGTCTCATTATTCATCCAAGTCTAGGGTAATGGTGTTTTAATTAAGATCCATTGCTGTTCCCCCTAGATATAATTAGCTACTCATTCATCAAATGTTGGGTGGCTGAATATAAGCTTGTAAGCATAAGCCAGTTTTCCATTTTGTGGATTGGTTTGTCATGGGGAGGCTTAGAAAAGGTTTATGATTTAGGTAGAAATCACATTGTAACCTCCACTTCTTTTTTTTCTTTGACTTTTCTGTTTAGTTATCACTAATCTTGTTTGACATTTGAGAACTGTTGTTTATGTTAGGAAGTATAATTACAGCTCTCTTTGTGGGTTTTATTTTCTATTTCTTTAAAGAACCATATAAAATCCCTTTTACTTGAACCTTTTTATAACTAATATATATATATGGCAGCCCCAAACCTAATTCTG